CTGTAAATTTAACTCCAGTAACTATCTGGATCACATTAAAGCATATCTACCTTAAGCAGATAGAGAAGTTTAAACTAATACATTATCTCCAAACTAAGTTATTTGAAGTTCTGAAAACACAAAGGTGAGAGAGTAACAATTGACAATTCTGAAATACTTGTTTAAAGACAAAGAATAAAAGCAATTATGAGACTATTATTTCTAAGACAGAAAACACATCAATGAAAAGCATTTAAAAATTTACAAGCATAATTACTCATAATGGTTTTAGAGAAGACTTAAAAATCTTAATTTTAGTTATTATTTTTCTCTAAGAATGTTTTAACCTAAAAATCATCGCTGTCATTATCAAGAAGAAAATCTCAACAAAAATGTTTCATTTTAGTACTTAAAGTTTGAGCTAAAGTTAAAAATGAATAACCTTTGTATCAATATATTAAAATTATATTAATACCATATTTAATAATCCTCTAAAAGAGTATATTAAGATAGATATGCTCATAATTGTATTATCAGATAAAAGGACCAATCCCATTTGTCAACAGGTAAAAAAGACCATGCTTGCCTACCACTCTCTAATTCACTCATAACTTAACACACATAAATATACAACAGTAAAGTATAAACTCAGCTCACTATTAATTGTGGAGACTTTCTCCCTCAGAATCTAAAGCAAAATGAAAAAGGCCCTGAAAACAGCAATCCAGCTTAAAGTCATTCTAATAAGAGAAATTTGTAAAGGATGAAGACTTCAAAGTGTTTAAAAAAAAAAATTCAACTCATTTTATGTAGGAAAAATCACACACTCTCTCCCACCCCCAACCACACTCCAATGAAGCCTGGCTGACAGTTTTTGTTCTGTTGTTTTTTTAAGATTGTATTAGTTTATTTATTATGTATACTAAAGGTCAAGCTTCGATCAAAATCTCACTAACTGCGGACGCCTGGATGGCTCAGCTGGTTAAGCATCTGCCTTGGGCTCAGGTCATGATCCCAGGGTCCTGGGATCGAGTTGCTTAGTGGGCAACCTGATGCTCCCCCTGCTTGTGTACTCTCTCTCTCTCTCCCCCTCTCTCTGACAAATAAATAAAATCTTTAAAAAAATAAATATATATATACATATATATATATATAAAATCTCACAAACTAATAAAAATTAAATAAAACTCGAGGTTACGTATACTTTTATTCAAAAACATATTTAAGTACTAATACGTATAAATGCTCATATAAAAATAAAGGAGTATAAAAAAACTTAATAGTCACAGAATTACAGTACACTATGGGAAATACACAAAACTAATACACACAGCACAGAAGCAGGAACAAAATAATTAGAATTTTTTTTAAGTGTTTAATTCTATCTCCTTCTTCCTTTCTCCCCTTCAGTCTTTAGGGAAATGGTATATCAAAAAAGAATAGAGTTCACCCTTGGTTGGATTCTTGAAGGGCGGGTACTTTGGGAAGGGGGAGCTATGTAAGAGATGAATCCAGAAGTTTCTAGGCAAAAGGAATAGGTATAAGTAAAGATATTTTAACAACCTGTTTTGGGAGTTAAATTCAATTCTAAAGCACAAAAAAAGATACAGAAGGCCATGCAAAACAGCTGGATCTAAGCCAACTTACATGTAGTGGAAAGTCACTGAAGGATTTTAAGCAGGAAAAAAACATGATCAGATTTCTGGCAATACACTGCAAGAGGATAGTTAAAAGACCACTGCTAGGCTCCATGTGATATGGAGGGTCTAAACAGCAAAAAGAGAATACACAGGATATGAAAATTATAGCTAATCATGGTATACAGAAGATAAAATCCTGGGGGAAGTGGGGTAAGAGAAAACAGTTGTATGTCTTTTGTTTTTCTTCTCATTTAAATACATAATCTAATCATTAACTTGGAATCTATGTAAGGGATTCAATGACCAGACATATAAAGAGGTCCTCATTACGGAAGAAAATAAATGAATCAACAAAAAGGCTTTTTAAGGTAAACCTGCTATAAAAAAGACCAAAAACATTACAGTGAGGAATAAAACAAAACTGTCTTGCATTTAAATAATAAAGCTAATAATTATGGTGGAAGAAGCTTACTATAATTAGAACTACATGCTATTTCTTAAAAATAAAGAAAAATAAAATATTGATAGTATAACATAACATGTTTAATTTCACATCTTAATCTTAAGGGTCATTTCCTAAGAGTACTTTAGGGCTACGTGATTTTTCCCAAGTGTCCCTCTCAAACCTTGATATTCAAATTACTTGTTCTATGAAAATATCAAAATACTCTTTTGAAGAAAGTATTATGTTTGCCTGTTTTCCCTTCAACTATTAACTAAGTTAAATCTGCAAGAACCTCATTTGACAATAGCTCTGCATAGGATTTTAGTTGTTTTCCAACAAAGTTTTCGTAGATTTCATGAAATCCTGAATCTTCCATAAGATCTGCTACTTTATTTTTTTTTAAGATTTTATTTATTTGACAGAGAGAGACAGGAGACAAAGCGGCAGGCAGAGAGAGCGAGAGAAGCAGGCCCCCGCTGAGCAGGGACCCCAATGCAGAACTCGATCCCAGGACCCTGGGATCATGACCTGAGTCCAAGGCAGACCCTTAACCAACTGAGCCACCCAGGCGCCCCTGCTACTTTATCTTATAAATAAGATATTCTAGAGTCACATTAGCTATGTAATTCAACTTTTTCCCTTTGTATTTCATTTTCTTTAAAACACCTGGGAATGACTCAGTCTGTGGGATATTGTTACCCTTAAGTTTAAGGCTCACTTTCTGAAATACATGGGATCTTTGTCAATGGAATACTATGTGAGTATATGCAGGTAAGCAAAAATTGTAATCTCACAAAATATTCACTGACAATTCCCATTGCCCTATCTCTCTCTTGGCAAAAGGAAAAGGTATAAGTAAAGGTATTTTAACATCCTGTTTTGGGAGTTAAATTCAATTCTAAAGCACAAAAAAAGATACGGAAGGTCATGCAAAACCACTTCTCATCTCTTCCTCCGATAAAATCCTAATCCAAGGCACCATCTCCTCTCTTCTAGACTGTTACTTGCTTCCTAACTTTTACCACACTTCTAATGGCAGGGGGTCAGGACAGTCTCTTCTCTATCCTCCACACGGGTACCCCAGTAAACATTTTAAAATCTAAATCAGATCCTGCTCAAAACTCTCCCAAGACTTTTCTTTTTTAAAGATTTACTTATTGGGGGGCGGCAGAGAGAGAGGGAGAGAGAGTCTTAAGCACACTCTGCCCTCAGGGCAGAGCCTGACTTGGGGCTCAATCTAATGACCCTGAGATCACAACCTGAGCAGAAACCAAGAGTGGGATGCTCAAATGACTGTAGCACCCAGGGACCCTGACTTTCTATCATATTTACACTTCATTCACTTGTTAGCTTAAATGTTACCTCCCCAGAGAAGCCTGACTATACAAACTAACCGGAACTACATGCTATTTCCATTCCTAATATGCCCTAATATTTTTTTTTGCCAACCCCTAATATGCTTAATTTTTCTTCCTAACGTACTACTTACATACTTTGTACTACTACTACTACTACATCATATATGTATTTGTTTAGTATCTCCCCAAGCCTCACACAGACACTCCCCAAAAGGTAAGCTCCATTAAGAGCAGGGATTTTGCCAGCTATATTCCAACAAATATAACAGTGCCTAGTGCATATCACAGGCATTCAATAAACAGAGCGAGTTAAAGTAATATAATACTATATTATCACATGTTACTAAAACCCATCAGTGAGAGACTGAGTAACAAAAACCTGGACACAACAGAAAGACATGCTACCATTAAACAAGAGAGAGATGGGACAATGGGAACTGTCAGTGAATATTTTGTGAGATGACAATTTTTGCTTACCTGCATACACTCACACAGTATTCCATTGACAAAGATCCCACGTACTTCATAAAGTGAGCCTTAAACTTAAAGGTAACAATATCCCACAGACTGAATCATTCCCAAGTGTTTTAAAGAAAATAAAATACAAAGGAAAAAAGTTGAATTACATAGCTAATGTGACTCTAGAATCAACTAGAACTCACAAGGATTCTCCATAAATGGTTAATGAGGAAAATATCAAACATCCCAGGAACCTTCATTAACCAGAAGATTCCCTGTGCCCTTTTCCCCACATATCATACTAAACTAGATCCACCATCGCTTTCCCGAACTGACAGAGGTTTTGAAGACTGGTGTATTCTCTTGTACTGGCACTGAACTGCCTGATAATTCATGTTATCCCAAAACTATCTGTTTGAAAAGCTTCCACTGGGCCATTATCCTAAATGGATTAGTAAGTTAAAAACATGTAAAATTGCTCTTACTTTGAACATTTCAAGCAAAAAGTTCAAGTTCCAATTTTAGGTAGGATAGATTTCATCAACTAGAACTTCAAAGCTAGAAGGAACCACAGACATTTACTGTACTTCACAAATACTGAAGGAGGCCAGTCCCTATACTACTACTCTAAAACCTAGGGAAACAATCACAAGCAAAGACAAAATAATCCCTGTTCTAATAGAGCATATAGAAGAGAAGACAAATTAACAACACAGAGTAATGAAGAAAATACCAAAGTTTTTAGGGGAAAAGCCCAGGGTTTTACTTTATCAAATTTCTCCCTAATATTACCTACCATTTCATGTTCTCAAATTGCAGATTTTTAAGGTCATTTGATTTTAACTCACAAGATATTTAAAGCTACTATTATTTCAAGAAATTCACCAAACTTTTAATCCAACAGTGAATTCATAATATTACAATATTTTGCTGTTTGTGGCATGAAAATTCAAAGCATTAAGGAAACAGATGGTCCATCTGAATCTCATTTCTAGATCATGACCAAAAGCAATTTCTCAGGGGTTTTGTATATTACATGGAAAAGGCTCCCAAGGACTAGTACCATATGTGCATTTTGCAACATAAATCCTAAGTAATTACAAATTTGAAGCTTTGTACCTGTGTGATGGAGAAGGAGCTTCAAATTGAGGCACTGTGCTATCCTCACTGACAGGAGAGTACAAGCCGCTCATTTCCTGAAAACACAATTATTTGAGTTATAGTAGACACTCCAAACAGAAAATGTAGAAGTCAAAATGAGATACGATATTATATTCCCTTCCAATCCTAGATTTTTATCAGTCACATTTTGTATCAACATCCATATTTCTCAAGGCTTCCTCTCCTCAGAGTACAAAGCAAGATTATCTAAAAAGTTCAGAGACAGCTTTTTCTATGGTACACATTCTTAGAGAACTAGAAACTCTTTAATAAATATTGTTCATCACTAATGAAGCCACCAAATGCAGACAAAGACAAATATAAATATTTCAAATGAGATGTACTATATTGTACTACAAGCTAATCATTAATCCACGTGAGAACCTATTGATAAACACTAAGATAAGTATGACAGTATGGTATGTGAATCATTAGGTTCAGCTCTCTGAAGTCCAGAAAAACAGGATATGTGTTTACTTTAAAAATATCCTCTGAAAGCATTAAGCAAGTCATCTTGATTCAAATATTAGCATTTTAAAATAAAGACTTAAAGTCTAACTCATTAACTCAGAGGAAGAAGCCTCCTAATCAACTATTATTGCATAAATTATGCACCTGTGAATCATACCACAACCTGGCCTTTTTTATGTGCTATTCTGATTAATGCGAAAGCAGCAAATTTTAAAATGCCACTAAAGATACATAATCAGGTAGAATTACTTCTGTCTAACCCAAGCTCAGTTCAGTCATACAAGGGACATAAGCATAGTAGTAACAAGTTTCAAGTAACAAGTTAGGAATGCCACATGGGACACTGAATTTCCACAAAATATTAAACTCAAGATCATTTAACATGTTCTACATATCAGCAAAAGAAAATTACAACACATATGAACAATTTAAAACACATACTAAATTTAAATGTAGCTGCAGAAAGTAACCTCACATCATAATAGTCTATGAGCCTCCAAAAGATCCTCCCATGGATTTCCATAAGTAAACTATATTATACTATAAATGCCTAGATTATTGTTCACGTTTTCGTAACTCTTTGTAAATTAACCTTAGCACAGTAGATATGTAAAAAATTATTTACTTAATAAAAGAATAGAATTGTGACATTATAATTTTAATGATAATTGAGGGTTTTGTGGGAGTTGATTTAAGTTACTAGGCTAGAGTACCAAGAAAATTAAATGATTTTTTTCAATCTACCCAAGAATAATTATGGCAATAAAACAGTGAAAACAAATTTAGTATACATTTTATCATAAAGTGTTCAGAATGCTTTTTGTATGAAAATACACTCTGAATTAAAATTAAGTATTTTAAGTAACATCTGTTACATTCTATATAGTGGAAACAAATCCCATAAATTCAATGCAGTAATTTAAAGGAAAAGTGACAACTTCATGAAACTGAAAATTGCTAGAGATGTGAGAAATTCTTGATTTCTTACTTCCACTCTTTTAATATCCTCTTCCAAAACACTCAGCTCCTTCTGGATCTGTTCCAGTTGCTGCAGACAAAATAGAGAGGGGGGAAAAAAAGCCTAAACCAAACCACACTGGTATCACCATGATCATAAAACAACTTTGCATTTGGAAAATAATTTCTAGAAAATTGGTCACTAATAAGAGATTGCAGGGATGAAAAATTGCAGACAAAAAGAGCTGAAAAGTCCTATGCTAAAAAATGTAGAGACTTAATATTTAAGAAAACACAACGCTATACTTCTTCAATGCAACAAGGATTGACTTTATTCATTATTCAGATACGAATGATCAACAAAAATGACGGTGTGACTTAATAAAAATAGGAGACATCCAAAGACTTTCCAATTTCCTCATCTGTTAGCAATTAATGTCAGCATGTCAGCTGTTAACTCCATTTTAAAATAAAAATTAGTTTCACAGAGGTTAAATCCCACTACCCAAAAGCAATCACAAGTTAGCATTTTAACATTTGCCTCTTAATATCTTTTAAGACATGTTTAAGATAATGCTTCATCTTTGATATCTACTTGCATCATAACCTTTTCCTATGACATTAAAATGCAAACATTTTAGCTGCTGAATCACATTCAACAATATACTTAACCATTCTCATCTTACTAGAGATTTCAGTTGTTTGCATGAGTAATTCTGGAACATGAGTCTACATTTCAACTGTTATTAAAAGATTATTAAAAATGAAGTTATTCAACCAAAAATAAATATAGTTAGGAAAGCTTCACTATGTGAAACTGCTTTCCAGAAACACTACACAAATTAAAATTTCTATCACCAGTATCTGTAAGTGGCTGTCTTAATCTAAACCAAATACACTGAACCAATTTTTAAAATGTAAAATAACAATAATGAATACTTGTGTCATACTTATCATAGGATGTGAAATAGGTACTATTAAACATTAGGAAAATGAAAAGCACAGAAAAGTTAGATGACTTGACCAAGATCATTCAGCATGTAAGTGGCAGAACTGGTATTCAAATCATGGCAGCCCCCTTGCTCCAGAATTCCTGCTGTTACTCATTATGCTCTAGTACTTCTTGAAAACAGTACCTCATTATTTAACTTTTCATTTCTTTCATGACTGGTAAGGGTAAATGGACTTTTAAGGTTTATTAACATTAGCACCTTCTCTTCTGTGACTATCCATACACAGTTGGTAATATAATTGATAACTTATTAATTCAAATATTTACTAGTGCTAAGCATTTTGCTAAGCACTGGGAAGAACAGGATTTAGAAAACTATAGCCCTTGCCCTCGTGGAACTCACTCCAGAGAAGAGAACAAACAAGTAAGCCAACAGTTGAAATATCATAGTAAACATTATGATGATAGTATGCACACAGAATTTAAGGTGAGGTTGCCCCTAACCTCGATGGAAAACTGGGGAAGAGGAGAGAGGCAACTGGTTAAGTGAAATTAGATCTGAAAGTAAATGAAGTCTGAGCCTTGAAGGGACTAATAGAATTTTGCTAGGGAAAACAATGAGGAAATAAACAGGGTAAAAAATAATACACTGAAAGACATACAAGCTATGAGAAAGGAGAATAATAAATCTGAAGCTATGATAATGAAATCACCCAATGTCAACCAGTATACTCAGCAGAGATAAGATAAGATAAGATAAGATAAGATAAGATAAATAAATAAATAACAAGATGGTAGGGAGAACACCAATGTTTAAGAGATGGGCAAAGAAAGGAGGAGCAGTTCTGCATTAACTATCAAGAAGTGCAAAACGGTAACCACAAAACCAGAAGACAAGACAGCATACTATTATAGAAACCATGGAGGAATGGGGGAAGAGTGTAATAAAAGTAATTAGCATTGTCAAATGCTTTCAACTCTTCCATCCAGTTTAATAAACTATTCTCTACCCTAAAATTTTTCACACCATACTCCCACTTTAACCGAAACCTTCCTCTCCCTCAAAGACACAGTCTGTCTTGGAACTCTTTCAAATAAAAGCTGATCAACTGATAAATACTCTTACAGCCCAGGTCCATTTCCAAAGGTTAGTCTTCCACTCCAAACCACTCTGGTCTGGTTCAATCCAAGTAGCAAAATCACTCTGTGATCCTAGCCATCTATAAAACATCCCAGTCATTTCCTACCATCATTGACACCTCTTGACTTTTGCCTTTTGGTTCATGCATATTTTCAACTCCAGTGATCCTAAACTCTAATTCAGCCAAGCATCCCATGGTCACCAATTAACCTTTTTCATTAATTACCTTGAAATACTCCACTCTTCAAATCCTTAAACAACTGCTGAGGGTCTTTAGTATGACTGCTTTAAAAAACACATTTAAAAAAAAGATAAAGTCAACATCTACAATATCAACATCCAGAGACAGCCAATATCAGTGGTGTGATACATAACACATAATTAAGATCATAATAATTTCACTCCACTTTTGAACTTGAAACACCAGAAAAAAATTCCAGTATCACCTGAAATCCCAAAATAGTAAACTGTAATGCCCTATTCTCTAAGGATAATGCCCCATCCTTTTAGTACCCCAAAGTTTATGCTGGATAATACATCTATTATTATATATGGATGCTGCTTTATATGAGGTGAACTACATAAAACTGCCATTGTTCAAACAATATTTCCAATAATTACTGGTCCCAAACCAGTAATCTCATATGGTTCAATTTAAAATAAAACAACTATCATACTAGGATGATTATCCTGATTATCTATCATTTGTTCTCCATGGAAAATGGGAGAATTTTTGTTGAGTTTTTAATTATATTCTACTTTCTTTGAAGACAATAATTTTACTGACAATCAAATACCCAGGGAATATAAAAATAAAAATACTATAAAATCTAAAAAATAAAGGATTAAACAAGTAAGGTACAAATGCTGACCTTAGATAGATAGATAGATAGATAGAGAACATAAAATGATGCAACCTACCTATGTGAAAAAGTCTGAAAAAGTGTCAAACCAAAATAAAATTTTATAAGTTTAGAGAAATGGGAATCACTTAGCACATAATAAATTTGAGGCATTTACATTTTATGAGATTCTGAAGGGGTTTGGCTAAGTTACTAGAGCACTGTGATACTGTGATTTATAATAAAAAATATATAATTGGTCTTCATTCAGCTCCTGGCCACAGGTCCTAAAACCCTTGATTTTAAGTTTCTGTATGCTTAATGACATGACTGGTGGCTAAGGGCTCCTGCAGAACCTCCAAATGAGGGCTGACTGCCAAGGGAACTAACCATACAGGTTGGTGAACATGTGGAGATGCTGAGAGGGTGGCACACCTAGAGAGTGTATGGAAGTTCTATGCCCTTTCCCATATTCCTTGCCCTGTGCATCTCTTCCATCTCTTCCTGAGTTGTACATTCTTTTATAATGAACTGGTAACCTAGCAAGTAACTGTCTTCCTGAGTCTGGTGAGCCATTCTAGCAAATTATCAAACCCAAAGAGGAGGTCACAGGAACCTCCAAGTTATAGTCAGTCAGAAGAAGAGGTGACAAGGTGGACTTGCATTTAGCATCTGAAGTGGCATCTCAGCCTTGTAAGACTAAGCCATTAACCTGTGGGATCTGGGGCAAACACCAGGTAGACAGTGTCAGAACTGAATTGAATTAGGGGACATTCAGTTGGTGTCTGCACAGAATTGAAGAATTGCTTAGTGTAAAAATCACGCACACATTTGGTGGCTAGAAGTGTAAGAGCAGAGTGATGAATATAAGGGAAGGAAGTGTTTCCCTATCAGGCATCAATGCAAGACATTATAGTACTAAAAAAAGAAGAAAGACAAAGGACAACAATTTAAAGGAAGTGGAACAACAGCCAAACTGTGGAAAGAGCCAAGATGTCCATCGACAGATGAATAGATAAAGAAGATGTGGTATATATATGCAATGGAATTTTATACAGCCATCAAAAGGAATGAGATCTTGCCATTTGCAACAACATGGATGGAACTGGAGGGTGTTATGCTGAGCAAAATAAGTCAATCAGAGAAAGACATGTATCATATGACCTCACTGATATGAGGAATTCTTAATCTCAGGAAACAAACTGAGCGTTGCTGGAGTGGTGGGGGGTGGGAGGGATGGGGTGGCTGGGTGATAGACACTGGGGAGGGTATGTGCTATGGCGAGTGCTGTGAATTGTGCAAGACTGTTGAATCACAGATCTGTACCTCTGAAACAAATAATACAATATATGTTAAAAACAAAAGAAGAAGAAGATAGGAGGGGAAGAATGAAGCGGGGGAATCAGAGGGGGAGACGAACCATGAGACAATGGACTCTGAAAAACAAACTGAGGGTTCTAGAGGGGAGGGAGGTGGGGGGATGGGTTAGCCTGGTGATGGGTATTAAAGAGGGCACAGTCTGCGTGGAGCACTGGGTGTTATATACAACAATGAATCATGGAACACTACATCAAAAACTAATGATGTACTGTATGGTGATTAACATAACAATAAAAAATTTTTAAAAATAAAAAAATAAAGGAAGTGGAAAGGAGAATTAACCTAAATTCACTCTTCAAACGTGTTTCATAACTGGGAGCAGCAGGATCTAGAATAAAAGCATGAATCAGAGTCCAAGAATGTTTTGGAGAAATGAAGAAAGTCCACAAAGATGAACTACCATTATCTGAGTGAAAATTGATCATTAATTGGGAATGATAACCAAAACCACCCTGGACCATATCCTCATGAGTTTGGGAGTTATTAAAAATAATAATAAATACATATGATGGAGAAATGCTTTAAGCCCATTCCTAAGCCTATATTAATAGCAAGGTCACTTTCAACACAGCATGGTGTGCCAAAATCCAAAGAAAATCTAAAAAACATTTAAATTTAAAAAGTAAAGTTTCAGGGGCGCCTGACTGGCTCAGCCAATTGAGCATCCAACTCTTGATTTTGGTTCAGGTCATGATCTCAAGGTCGGGAGATGGAGCCCTGCATCAGGCTGTGTACTCAGCATGGAGTCCGCTTGAGATTCTCTCTCTCTTCCTCAC